TCGGATCGTTAAAAATGTTGCAAACACAAACACGGTTTGAGTAAAATTGTTCTATGTGTCCCTTAGAAAATAATGATGAATTAGTAATAATTATAAATATATATAGTTGATATTATACTTCCCAGAAAATACTTTAACTAATAGTTATGGGAAGAGGGAGGGGGTTACTGGGGAATATCCAAAAAATAAGAAGTATGTTTGATCTACCCGCTCGTGAAGCTTTTTTTAAGGGAAATGAACACGCAGTTGACATTCGCAAAAAAATGCTTTGCGCTAGTCGTGTAATGTCTGTATACCTAGTTCTATACTTAATATATTTTGAAATAATTAAAAATGTATTCTGATGAAATTTATTGATTGTGAATTTGAATTTGAATTCAAAGCTAGGAAATAATCATAATCACATGATCATATCTTATCGTATATTTTGTATATTATACTACTATGATTATACGGTGACAATAGGTTTTAATGAAATTGAGAGGCGAATTATTTTCATTATTTATTTTCTTTTATTACAACGGATTATTTGTCATCAGTATTGTTAAATTGGATTATTTTCATTGTTTATTTAATGCATTATGTAACTGCCTATATATTAAATATAATATATAGGTATGGATTGATCACAATTGGGAGACCATATTATTATACTCATTCTATGTATGAGAAGGGATATGAAAAGGTCAAGGGGTTTTTTTTTGTACGATGTTAATTACATTCGAAAGTGATATAGAAGGACTTCAGAAATAATGATATTTTGACTAAAGATTATAGCGGTTAGTTATAATTTTTTTTTTTGTGTAGGTATATTTAACAATTTGTTTTTATTTTTATTCAGGCATAAAATATAAATAATATTATATTATACTTCTCTCTAATTTTATTTCAATAATTGTATATTGTTTTCGGCATTAATTTTCTGAATACTAAATTTCCTATTCTCAAGTTTAATTTAAACCGTACAAATATAAATATTGAATAACAAATATTATTTATTATATGAGTACAGGCGGATTTTTTTTTTTTTTTATTATGAGCAAATTATTATCTTGTATGTCTACATGGACAAACAACTCGAAGTAACATAGGGCTGATTCCCAGAACTTAGAAATTATTAATAGTTATTGACATTCGAATTTGAAACTTCATTGAATAATAGTTATAATATTGTAATATTAAAAATTAAATTGTTTAAGTTATGAACGAATGACTGAAGGGTGGCTGCAAAATGATAACGCAGCAAAAGATATTTTTATTGAAATCCGAATAGTAAACAAGAATTATGTAGTGATTTGTATTCTTAAATTTAATTTGTTTTGTATTAATACGATTGATGTTTATTTTACCATGTAATTAATGACTTAAAGAACATCTGGATGTCTACGATTTATATAATTGTTCAGAAGGAACAAAAATACATTGAAAAAAATCAAACATTTATTTTAAATATTTACGTGCAATATTTGTCTTTATAACTTACGTTCAAAAACTAATGTTAACCAAAATACGGAGAAATTCGGTTGTTGTTCAAGGTCTTTAATTTTAGATTCTGAGCGAAGCGAATAATGTATTTATTTCACTATTGATTTATTTGGTGCATTGACAGCCGATCTGGTCATTTTTTGGTATAATTTATTGATTCTAGGTTATCTTATCAAAAAAAGACAAAATACGACTAATAATACTCTGCTTTAAAATCATTTATTGTGAGTAATGATTTATTGTTGCGTACAGACATCAACCACTTATTATACTTTTATACTTCTTTCCTAAAAGAGTGGCACACTCATCAGCAATATTTTTAAATTTGGAAATGTAGAACTAGTCGGATAATATTTACATGAGTTTATAGGAGTTAAAAGAGTTAGACCAGGACAGTATAAGGAAGGGTTATCATCTAAAAACGCCTAACTTCAGTTTAAATTTTAAATAATCCAATATTAACGCGTATCAGACGTATTAAAATATTTAAAAGAACTATTCTTTTTTTTTTCTTTTTGATTTTGTGTTTAGAAGAGGGACAAAAAAATAAGTTGGGAAGCTGAGATACATCAAATTATTTATATCTGTGTGCAATGATAAATCATTGCTAACTAAAAACGATTCTGAGTGAAGGCCGTTTTGATATTCCGTGATTTTTTTGATAAAAAAATAATGGTGGTTTCTAGTAAAGATTTTGTTTGCTTAGTGCATTAAAAGGTGCTGTCTTTAGATTTGTTTAAATAAAAATCAATATTTCACTTAAAATCATTCGAGAAAATCGCTAAATCGTGATAAAAAAAAATCACAGTGTAAACATTGATACGATTTAATTTTTCCGTATTCGAATCTCCAATATTATAATGACTCTTCAGTGTAATAATAAAATGAGACGGAATATATTTTTCATGATTTGATATACCTACATAGAGTCTAATATTATATACAACATGCTGTATTACTTTCATCTTGTACATATGACAATAATAGGAATATATGTCAAATATATCACGATTTTTCTCGTATTTTATCAAACGGTTCGTTTTCTCGTTGCGTTTATTGCTTTGAAATACAATTTTGCTCGTCGAGACACGTTTCATTTTAAGTATACGTACGAAACTGAGATGAATACTGTACAATTCATTTTAAATATGTTTTATTTTTATAGGAATAAATTATAATATCCAAATCCAACAAAAAAAGGGGACTTCGATCCAGGGAAGTCCAGGAGAATTGTGACGCCAGTGAGTATTAAGAGAGTATTAAGTCCCTTGCCCATAGAATAATACGAATACTATTCAAACATTTCCGGAAAATCAATAATCCATCGGGTGATTTCAAAATATTGAATTCTAAAATGCAAACATGACAAAAGTTGTATGCAATTTCTTTTTAAATTTCGTATACCAAAATATTTATTATAAATTACTAATAATTAAATAATTCAAATAAAATATATCTGAACTATAAGGAAACAACAATAACAATTCCAATAATTGGTTTCTTGTTTATATAATTATCTTAAACAATACAAATTTTAACACCTACTTTTAAAATTTAAAACTTATTCAACTTAATAAAAAAAAATAATACAAAAATACTCGCGTTTTTATTACAAAGAATAAAGCGGTGAAACTTTCCAATAAAAGTTTTACGGTTATTTTGTAGGCAGGTGAAAAAGTTCTCGAAATGTATATATATATATATATATATATAGGTACCTATGAATTATTATTTCATATCGTTGGCAAAAATGGAAAATATGGTGTTTCTAGTAAGTTTTTTGTGTATTATTTTTGATCCCCTTTCGGCTTTTCTCTTGCACCTGTGAATATTTCGAAATAATCATTTCTTGTGCATGTAACATTATTATACGTGTAATATGCAGTATATACCTATCCATACATTAATATACAATTGGACGAACCTATGTAAATACTAACCCATTTTAAAATTTATTGAAATAACTCGACGCTTCATGTTATTGGCTTATTGTCAGATGCTCATATTGATTTAATCAATTTTGACTTTTTTTAATTTTCTCCAGAAGCTAAATGGTTAATAATGAATGAGTTTCTGCTACTATTATTCACTGATTTTATGGTATTCTTTTATAGTTTAGCTGTTACCTGATGAGTATAGGGCTGAGATTATATAGGTACTTTCTATTGTTTCCTAAAGCTCGCTCACTGAACACAAACGTTTCATCTACTTTTGAATGAGAATAAGATATTTCATTTTTTTTTTTTAAAAGATTTCAGAGTTTTCGAGGTTACTTTTAGAATTTTTGGAATCCAAAATTTTAGTTTGTTGACGATAAATACACGTTGACATGATTTATATACGTATAATAAACTATCTAGTACACTACCTAGTATAATTACTATCTAGTACACTACCTAGTATAATTACTATCTAGTACATCTGAGCGAGTTTCTCCAGGAGAAAGATGTCAATAACGTCCAGTTATTTCTGTAAATTTGAGATTCCGAGCGTAGCGAGGGATCCATTGGTTTTACAATGTTGTTTATTTCTTTGTTCTTTTTCCTTTGTTCTAGTCCGTGGACACGTTTTTTCCTAGTAAACTTGCTCCGATCATTATGAATCAAAACTTTTTTGAAAACTCAAATTGTCTAGATGGTATTATAAAGAGGTCATTTTTTGATTTTCGACGTCATTTTTTAAATAAAAGCATTTAAGTGGGGAAATCTTGGGAAAATGTACAATTTCCCGATTTTATTGTTTTATAAAAACATGGATCACGTTTTCTACCAAAAAAATTTATTTAATCGAAAAATCATAAATTATTATTGACTTCAGGAGCTTATATTTTATGCCACGAAATATTGATCTGAATACAAAACGAATCTTTATTGCGTTTTTGAGACTGTTTTGAATGACGGGGTGTATGAATTATTAATAATTGATTATCACTTAGTTTTAATTATAAAAAAAAAAAAACTATTCATAGCTTTTTAAAATTATTTGAACGCATAATTTAATGAAACATATCATATGTATATAGATAATTCATCTGTGTAGATATCTATACTTGTTGGTTGATCGTAGTCGGTTCCATAATTTGTTAAAAATTAATAAACAATGTTCATAATAAGTCTTTAAAAGTATATAAAATTATTATTATTATTATTACACATTGTTTATGCATTTATATATCATTTTTCGTTAATTTCTATATACCTGCAAAATATTTTAAAAATAGTGGTTCGCATAATTCCGGTAGAATTTCATCAAAATCGCCGGTGTTTATAAAAATATAAACCTGTGACATTCGGACGGACGGTTCCGTATTCGGCGTGTTGGTCACATTTTTTACTTATGTCTTCGAAACCCGGACGACATTATAGTTTTTTGCGGACACTCTGTATACTAGATATGATAATAAGGCAAGGGCGCGAAACGGAATTTCGGGTTGCCGTTTTGACCGCGGTTTAGCCAAAAGACGGTCACCGCAGACGCAATAGTCGGTTACGTCAACGCGTCAACGCCCGTGGAGAATGTGGACATGCGGCGTCGATCAAGATTCTGTAGGATACGAAATAGCAGACCGAGCGGCCGTCAGTTCGCGCGCGTGGACCCGTCGCAATTCGCCGCATCCTATCCCGTCGTGTCCGTCGGTAGTGCGCGGTGGGAGGGTTAAAGTTTTTAGTTCGTCCGCGGTCCGCCGGAGGCACCCCGTGATCTTGGCTGCGACGATAGACGCGACGACGACGACAACGACGCTGCCGTCACGCCGCGCGGCCGCCACGGGTTCAGTATACCGCCACGACGCAATCCGAACACAACTTCTCCGCATAAAGCCGCCGCAGACGTAACGTAGTCGTAACGCCGCGTATTATCGTACGGTCCGCCGTCGCGAAGCGATTTATCGGTTTGACGACCCTCGCCTCCGACTTTGGAATTCCGATATCTCTCCCGTGTGTTTTTTTTTTATTATTTTTTTTTTTTTTTTTTGGTGGAAAAATTAGAATTTAAAAAATCCGAAACGCCTAATCGCCCGCGTTGCACACGCATACCATGATGAAGTGAACCGGAAGCGGACGTACCTTACACCACCGCATCAGAATCTGTCAGCCCACAGCCGGCTCCATGGGACCGCGCAAAACAGGTCAGTCTTACTCTAAAATAATAATAATAAAATTAGAAAGTTATTTTTAGGTTTCCACCCCAAAAACTGCAAAATATTTTAATATTTTCGTCTTTAGGAAAATTGAAAAACGTGTTTCATAGATAGCTTCGCTGGTTATTGCAAAGTTTCCTCTGTTGCACAAATTAACATCGTTTTTTTTTTGTGTAATATTTATTGGATTAAAAAAAAAAAAATTAGCTACGAAATTTCCCCGTTCATAAATCCTAAAGACCTCGTTGTTTTTAATATAAGAATTATTATTTTTTTGTTTTTTCAATTTTACCTAATAAATCGTTGTTTTTCTTTCGCAACAACGATAATTCGATTTTAGGCGGTTATAAGTAATTATTCGTTTTTCTATAAATAGACCAATATTTTCAATAGTCCAATTTCCTTATTGAAAAATGATTTGACTTTTTTTCCTACATTTCATAGGGAAAATATATGAACGGTTGCCGAGGAAAACGAACGTAGTCAATATTTCAAAAACATTCATTGTTTAACTTTTTCCCGTTACTTGTCAGATTATTTTTAAAAAAATATTCAACAAATTTTAAATTCTAATATAACACGGACTAACAATAGAGAATTCCCCCCCCCCATTCGATACGCGTAACAATTCATTCAATTGTTATTTAATTAACTAAAAATTAACTGAATAAAAAAAATACGAATAAAAGTTTCCTATACAAAACACAGACAGGGATCGGAAAATTCAAATACGTTAATTAAAATTAAAAATTGACCGTGAACGAATTATGTTTTGGTCCGAAACGTCGTATATCTATGTCAGAAAAAATCTTCTCGTTTTAAACAGCCGTCGGGTGAAAATTATTTGCAAAACCGTTTCCAACCTTCTTACGAAAAAATATAATATTGTCATTGTATTATCTCTGCATGCTTTTTTTAACTTTTCGAAAAATTCCGAAGGAGCCACTATCTTTAGAAAAAGAAAATTGTTTTGTTTTTAGTTCTGAAGGTTTTAAACGTTTTTCGGTTATACATCTGAAAAAAAAAAAATGGAGAATTTCGCAGTGCCTTCAAACACAAAAATTTGAAAAAAAAAATAAATAAAATATAGCGTAGAGGAACCTAACTGAAATTATACCGGTAATAGGATACTGAGCGTCGGTTTTACTATGACGTGCGTGTTTTTTTTTTTTTTTTAATTAAATTATCTACCTATAAATTATTATAGGTGTATTTTTTTTCTGCAAATAAATCATAGGTACATGTTCGTGGTGAATTGCACTCGTATTCGATTTTTCGCGGTGCACAACTGAACACTAATAATAACAAAAAAAACAAAAAAATCGCACGAGTACGGACCGCGAAAAAAAATAAATCGTCTCGGACGAATATTATTATAGGCCTAATCTCGTTGATAGCGTTTTTTAACCCGGGGTCCGCTGCGGGCGTTTTACCCAAGAAATAATCGAATTACTATAACAATACAAAAACCGCAATTATTCCTGAAAACCACCCGGGTTGTACTGGGCGTAGTGTAAATAAATTTCGACCGAATTGATTTTAGACGACGTCCTGTATGAATATTTCCGTTAAAAAAAGAAAAGAAAAAAGGGCAATATTCTTATTTTTTTCTACAAAATGTGTATTTTCTCGCGTGACTTATCTAAAAAAAATCTTTAAAAAAAAAAAAGTCAAGAATGCAAATAGGATATTTAAAGTCAACAAAATGCGTTGCCGATGGGACGCGATTCTTAACGGAGTTCGATTAAATGTTTTTTACGGTTTTCGTCGAAATCCGAATTTCAAACGTTTACAGAAAACCAAACTACTACCGGGGGTCAAGTAGCTATCAGCACGGCCCACAGATCCTTATGGATCACGCATTTTATATATTTTTCGTTAACAGTGCAATTTTGACATTCCGTACGGTCATTTTCATATTCCGCTCCATTATTAATTTACACAAAACGTAGATAGCATACGATGGTCATAAAACAGGAAAATGCGATAAAAAAAATAATAAAATAAACTAATACCAATTTTTCACTCCGTAATGTGTTCTTAAGACTTTGACGTTCATACTGTGTAACGAACTTATAATTACGATGTAGTTTTGAATTCTGTTCAATAAATCTACGTGGATTAAATTCAATATTAATAGAAAAAAGTTCTTAGGATCGCTTTGGTGGCGAATACACCATACGTAACGTTTTTTTTTTTTAAATTTTTAACGTACATTTTTTTCAATTTATGAACCTCGTATTAAAATCCTGCACGGTCGGCTTAACAATAAGTGTACGTGTACGTAAAAACCGAATAAAAACTAAACAAATTCGATTAGGAGGTATGCTAAACTTTTTTTTTTAAATAAAAAATAAAAAAATACGTATTATAAAATTTATTATCATCCCGGTTCGTATTTTGTAAAAATAACCCACGCGAAATCGGCTGCGTCGTCGGTTTATACACTATTTCGTAAAAAATTAATTTCACGGATTTTTCGTCGGGCCGCCGAAGTGTACGATCCGGACTTTTTTAAACGGCGCATTTTTTCCCCCCGGATTTTTTAACCGTTCACCAAATTCGCGTCATACCTACCGGTGGAGAAAAAAAAAATCAGGAATATTGCGTCACAAATTAAAAACGTTCGTGTTGGATTTCGACGAATATATTCCCGGGGTGTTTTTTTTATATTTATTTGCGTAAAAAATTTTTTTACATTTTCCGCGAGCCTTTTTACTAACGCTACCCAGTGTCTGTTTTTTAAGGGTTTCGAGACACAAATCGAATACGTATACGGAAACGCGAGTGTTTACTACACGAATATTTTTACCCGTTATATAAGTACCCGTCGGAAAAACTCGTGTCGGATTGAAATTTTTATGTTTATATACTTGTATATTTTTTTTAGTTTTTTTATACAACGTATGCATTTTAGACTCAGAGGGTAGCGAAGGAGCTATTGGTTTTACAATTCTATTTATTTCTTTTTTCTTATTTGTTCTTTGTTCTTTGTTTTCTAGTCTTTGGATACATTTTTTCCTAGAAAACTTGTTCCGATTTTTACGCGTAGCAATTTTTCTGAAAAGCACAAGTTGTCTTGATTGTACTTTGAAAAGGTCATTTTTTGATTTTCGACGCCATTTTTTAAATAAAAACACTTAAGTGGGAAAACATGTAGGAAAACATCCAATTTCACGATTTCATTACTTTATAAAAATACGAACGATGTTTTTTACCAGAATAAAATTGATTTAATTAAAAAATCACACGACATTTTTTTTGATTTAATTTCTTACAGTATCATCGCTAAAAATTTTGAGCTTTTAAGGAATTTTAATCTTTGGGATTTTTTTTGGCTTTAATTCGGTTATAAATATACGTAGAGTCTTAAAACTTGGTAATGATACTTATATAAGACTTATCTAGAAAACGTTTATTATTAGGAAAAGTGCTTTAATCGAAAAATGACAAGACATTTTTTGTGTTTCATAGTACATCTTTTTTCTCATGGCGCCAAGTCGTTTTGTTGATTTCATAATGATTCGGAAAAACCAAAAGAAAATAATGTTGTTGTAATTCAGTTAAAAATATTTGTAGAGACTTGATAAATGGACAGTATGCTCATATTTCGTAAACAAATTTAAACGAAAATCGCAAAAAAAAAAAATTACGGCACTTCAAATTATGTATTACCGAACTGTGTTCGGAATCAACTTTCGTCGTCATCAATAGTTTATCGTTGCTTACAGATATAAATGAAATAACCTTATGTGTCCTACCTTTCCAACTTCTCACCTACAACAGTGGCTGCTTCCATCCTCAGTATCAGCTCTTTTTTATAATCATGTGCATTCATTTCATGCGCACGGGTATTTTTCGATAATAATTATTTGGGGGGCATAGGGTTAGACGTGTACATCGAATTATGAAATAATCGAGGACGTGTTATTATTACGGTAATGCGATAAATGAAATTATAGATTTCTACTTTGAAGTAAGAAAAAAAAAAAAAATGTGTTGATTGGTGCGCCAATGGCGTTGTCAGAATGTCAGCGGGGGATATGTAAAGTTATTCGATTTACATCCGTGATTAATTTGTCGACGAAATTCTGAGCGGATTCGGTTAATTGCGAAACGTTGTGATTTTTACGATTCTCGTCAAAGTTTGAACTAGTAAAATGCGTGTAAAAAAAAATAAATATTACTGCATGCGGCCCGATAGTTCTATTTTTCGACGGCCAAGTTCAACCTAAAATAAATTTCGTATCAAATTTTTTTCAAGCTTTTCTGAGTTTGGCCGAAAAATTTTATCGACATAAAATCAAGACAATGCTAAACAAATTTCAAACGCCTGCCAAATAGCTCGAAATTCGCCCAAATATTTTGAAAATTTTACTGAGTCTAGAAATATCTGATATCATTATTCTCTGTTAATTGTATGTCTTTAAAATTATTTTTAACCCGATAACAACTCTTCAAAATATCAAAAATCAGAAATTATGAAACTGTTAATACCGTATAATTTCTATTTTCCCTGTGTTACCCTTCCAATTTTTAGTAAAACTACTATTTTACTATCGATAAATCAAAAAAAACGATCTCCCTACGCACCAACTAGACAACGTTTTTTTTTTTTTTTTTGTTAAAAATTTTTGGTAGAAAAAAAAATCAAAAATAATGAATTGCTGTAAATTTTTTTATTTTTACTATATTTTTTTTTCTTTGTTTATCTAATTATTATGAAAACTAATAGGAAAATTAACGAACTTATCGACTAGAACCTAAGTGCTACAAAAAAAAAAAAATAAAAATATTTTTCCTTTTTCTAATTGGAGAAATATTTCTAATAGAAGTTATTAACGGCTCGGGGGCAGGGAGGGATATCCATCCTACATTATAGTAAAACCAATAAATTTATCACCATGTTCAGAACCTCAATTTAACACCAGTAAAATTACTGTGGACTACGTTTTTGCTTACATATTTATT